GCATTATGGAAATTGCCAGATTTTGGTTAAGGTAGGAGATCTGTTCGAGGAGGCAACTTTGGGACCTTATTCGAGGAGCTTGAGGTACAACCATTTGGAGATTTGAGTTGGAGGTGAAAGAGGGCAACTTTCTAAGCCTCGAGAAGGAGTTGGCTGAATTCGACTCGACCTAGAAGGCCATTTCCTACAAGCTCGAAGTTGGACTGGAAGAAGGTTGTGAGACGTGGACAGGAAGACATGATTCATTGTGCAAGTCGGATTACTTGCGTTAGAAGAATCCTTATTAGAGTAGATTTTCTTTACCAAATATGTTCTAGGATGTTTTCTTGTTTAAGTAGGTTAATTAATTGTTCTTGTGGCTATAAAAACATTGCTCGAATCAGTGTAAAGGCAGATTGAAGTTTAATAAAAAAATCCCTCGTGGAGTTACCCCAAGCTTGAGAAGCTCGGTTTTGTTCTTGGTTGTTTGACCAAGGATTGCAGATCAATTGACCCAAGTATTCTCCTTAGTTGATTGATAGTTCGACCCTAGTTAGCCTCCTTCCCTTTGTGTTAAGGTTGCTTACTTGGTTACCTAGTTTTCCATCGAATTACAAGTCTCTATTTACTACAAATTCATCACCACCACTACCCCTTTTGCTTCAAGCTGCGAATTATGATTCGAGTTCCATTATGGGGCTCAATATTAGGTCTCATACTCCAACTTCTAAGTGTATACTTTAGCTTGCTATAATGAGGTGGAAGTTCCTTAATGTTAATTTTTCCTAATGTAGTGAGGTGTAGATCAAGTATAATAAAATAGTTTGTGGAACGTAACTATTCACTATACCCTCCCTCACTACATTTATCTCCTTGTTAGTCTAAATAGTTAAAGTGCTAAACTCATTTGAGTGAGATCCCAATTTTGGATTTACGCTCCCTTGAAGGTACCCTTTCACTTAGTAAGAAAAAAATATTGTTAATTGGTAAATACTCTCCATGATTTGGATTCCAGTCTAGTTTTCCTTTGTTCTTGCACGATTTGCCAATATAATCATAATGCAATTGTTGTTATAAAACTAGTAATATCAATTGATTGATTTCCAAATATATTGATGGTGATGACATTATGTCTCCTTTAACCATCCCAAATGAAATGTATCCCTTTTTTTGGAAGACAACTATTTTGCTTCTCTATTTCGCAGACAACACGCGCATCAAATTAGGTCTCTCAAAATTACTTCACATTGTCGGCCATAACCTGGGGTGCTTCTCAATTGTGCTTCTCCAAATTAGATCTCTCCCAATTACTTCACACTACTCTGCTACTCCATTGTGCTTGTTTCATCTTGATCCAACTTTTCGTAGCTTCAAATTTGAATTTTTTTCGTCAGGAAACCCAATTAAGACGCGTGCATCTCGTTTAGTGTAAAAGAACCATTGATTTAGAAATACTTTCTGAACACCATGTTGACAAATTATTTTTCAAAATATAATATTTTAGGTAAAAAACCTAAATTTTATTCTTTTTAATTAATGTCATAATTTTCTTTTGATAAAAAATGTCATAATTTTTCCTTTGATAAGAGAGCGGGAAACTTTTTTAAGACCACAAGGTTTAACAACATTACAACATGCTTAAGGAGCTTACTAAAAACTTAGTTGAGCCTCTAGCATATGGGTTTTAATCTTGGATTATGAAGGTCCAAATACTTCCTTTGAAATTAAATGAAAAAATGAGCATGATAGTGTAACAGCAGGTTCCATTTTTGCTGGAATTTCTCTTGTAACTCACCTATATACTGGATCATTCAATTTACCAATGGTGAATAATATGATTTTCGAGTCCGGTAGCGTCTCATGTTGGTGACCGGCGGTGGCCCAAGTCCTACTTCTTTTGTTTGTCCATTAGTTTTTTTTCATGATTTTGGTTTTTTTTGCCTTTTTGCTAATTTTTCGATTGCATTTTCAGTTGTCGCTTTCTAAACTAGTCGTTGTGGCCTTTCATTGCCATCTCCAGTCAAGCTTTTGCTCTTCGCTCATATCTATGGTTCACTGTTCTAGGCTTGCTCAAATGGGGTCCAGAGGTAGGAGTTTGGGAGCCTCATTCAGATGAGGTAATACGAGCACAAGAGTTGCTCGTTTGACAGAATACGCAGCACAATTTCCAAACCAAAGAATGGATTGAAAACTCGAACAAACTTAAAACGAAAACGGACCAAAGGTGCAATCTTTCACGTGTAAGAAGGCTCGATTGGTTTGAAACGAAGCTTGGCCACAATTGATGCAGTTTCAATCGATACGAAGCAACTCGTTGCTGGAACTCAACCAACACACAAGCTTATGGGGAGACAAGTCTCAATTTCATTCATTCAACATACATACATACACGAGGCTTCAAGGCCCTTTAAATAGACTTTAACAAACCTAATTCTACTTCTAAACAAACAAGGACTCAAAGCTAATGCTAACTTGGACAATGAAACGGAAATCTGAACTGTAAAATGACACAAAATCTGGTGGCTTCATACTCAAGAATCTGCTTTCCTGCGCAAGTAAAAACCAGTCTTCGACACCTTCTTGGAACCTCTCGATCGAAGACTTCTAGGCAAGTGACCCTTCATCCAATTCCTTGCTTTTGTACTAGAAGCTGTACACTTTCATGTGGTATACTCCTTGACACCCGATTCCCAGCCAAAATCCTCGAATTACACCCCAAAGTAGCCATCACGAACTTGATTCTACACTTAGTCAAATTCTGGCAGTCTTCCCGTGTTGACATAGCAACTTTGAGGTCTTGAAAACCCTTCTTAACGAGCTCTTCTGGAACAACGAACCATATAACCTTGTAGAGGGAGACTTTATTTGCAACAAAAGCTCTTAATCTCCCATTTTCATGGATCCAATCGTGAAAACCAGGTTCCCAAAGTAGGTACCCTGACACTGTTCCACTACTTGGAATAAAATCAGAATGCTTAATGTATTCTGGGTTGTCTTCTTGATCGAGCATTTGTGAGCCAAAGATTGAGCTTATTGAGATCATATCATGAGGGTGATGGTTTGCTTTCCTAGTTTGGTGGTCTCATCTCTTTGGTGAAGTCATTCTCTGCTTTCCCACTCCGGGCCCCCAAAGGATGTCGATGTTGCTTGGATGGTTGTCGGATCATGAAGGGTTGGGTCTTCTCTGGCTGTTGAGGTGGAAATCGGTACTTTGTGGAGATTTGTGGCTCCATCAGGATCGTTGCTCCCCTTTGAACACGATCTCTCTTCCTCGACTCCCTATGCCTTATTAGTTTGGAGCAATATGATTTATTTCCGTCTCCAGTCTCCACCGCCAAGTAGTCTCGAATCTGAAATTCCGTGTGATGGATGTCTTCGAGGCATCTCTAGGAGGCGGCACATGGCTTTGATGTGCTCAACAGTCATGTAGTTCGATTTGATCGGACAAGCTGACTGTTATCTTATTCCACTCTGATCGATTGACAGCTAGAAGGAATAAGGATTCTTGATGTTCTGTTTTTGGTTCAAGTGTTTGAATCTTTTGGGTGGTTGTTTTCACTCTGAGTTTCGTGTTTCATTGGATGATTCCTTAAGCACGGTTTGTTTCAACCGATTGAGCTGGTGTTCTATCCTTTTGATGGATCCAAATTGCTGGTTCGTACTATTCTTCTTTATAACCAATCAATTAAAAGTGCAATAAAGATTACTCCCTTGTAAAAAAAACCTCAAGTAATTAACTCTTTCCTCTTTCTCTTCATCGTCATAAACCAACTGGTCTAATAGCTCGAGTTATTGAAAAAGGTACATAAGTACGTACTTAACTATTTCCTTACATGTCCCATCTCACGAAAACCAACTCAACAGTTTGAAATTTGCACTGGCTCTCCATACTGTGCGCTTTAAGACAACAACTAATACTGGGTCGTAAGGACTTGAACACGTGATCTCAAAAACAAGTCAGACTCTGATACCATGTAATAAACTAACTGGTCCCAATAACTCGAATTGTTGGTAGAGGTACATGTATACTACTAACAATCCCACGAACACATCCACATCCCTTTCCTATTTTGGTAAATCATCCACATGCTTTCTATATAGCCAAAATGGGATTGTCCATCGACATGTTCAATTGCAAAACACATCAAGACGTTAAACTCCATCCCAATTAATCATGGTTAGCTAGTTAAAGTGAAATTCATGCATGTCTAACTAACCAGTTTCTATCTAGCCTGTAGTCCCTAATTATTGGAAAGGTTAGTGGAGAAAATCTCTAGACAATTGGAAATTGCAACTCTTTAGATAATCTATCTAGCCCAGTACCACTGCATTCTTTTCCCTGACATATGGCCACCATTATGATACTTTTAGCGACCGTTTTCGTACTTTCATCAACTTCGGTTGTGAAAGATGCCGTCGTAGCGCTTGACTGCGGCGACAAGCCGCCGTCGTGGGGTGGTGCGAATTATAGATTTGTGGGAATGGAAGGCTTCAAGACCGTGCAAGACGCCATTAATTCCATCCCTTCTAACAACAATCGATGGACCAAAATCCATCTTCAGTCGGGTACCTACGTGTAATTATCCGTACTCTTTCTCCTCTACTTTTTTGGTTCATACATAGAAATAGTGGTGGAGCTAGGAATTTGAATGAGTGGGGGCTGGGTTGAACCGTTATAATTGGGAGATGGGGCTAACACCTTTATGCAAAATTTAGCAAATGTTTTAACTAGTATAGCCTTAGAAATCAATCAAATCATTCAACTATAAAATATATTTTCAAATTATTTATTATTTATCATCGGTATTCACATATATTAAGAATCTATTAACATTGATAATGGTTGATCCGATTGTTTTTTTAATTTATTTCATAAAAGTATAAGAGCATTGTATATTTTCATCCCCATGGAGATGAAAACTATGAACTATAGTTCATATTGGTGCTTTAGGATCAACATCCATATGATTTATGTCATGCTAAGGTATTTTGCATAAAGGTTTGGTCTTCATATATGCAGGGAACAAGTGACAATTCCACATGACAAACCATGTATATTTCTAGAAGGTGAAGGCAGAAAATCGACGATCATTACATACAATGGTCACAGTCAAACAGATAAAAGTGCAACTTTCTCTTCTTACCCACCAAACGTTATTGGCAAGGGCATCACCTTCCAGGTTATAAGCCGATAAGCACGTTTAATGACATGATATTCTCAATCTTGGTATAATAATTAATATAACCGATAAATTTTATCTTATTAGTTTTTTAATCAATATCATCAAATGTAATTTGTTTTGGCCGTTAGAAACTTTACACTATATTGAATCTAAACCTTATAGAGTGTCTTTTTTATCAAATAGATTGTGTGTTTGAATCCTAGCTAGCAACGCTTATTTATAAATTCATTGATTTTTAATGAGTCTTAAACTTAAGAAAATAAAATAATAAAAGTCATGGAAAAATAGCTGGTGTAAATGTTAATAAATACTAAATTTTGACCACAACACCTATCCATGGGCTTGCAGAATTCTTATAACCTCGGAATGAGTATACCCAAAATCTACAGCCCAGTATCAGGCCCAATTAACCGGAAGCTCATTGCCCTATCTCGGGCCGGGGTAGTGCCGGCCCTAGCCGCTAGAGTCTACGGCGACAAGTCGGCCTTCTACGACTGCGGGTTCGTCGGCGTCCAAGACACATTATGGGACGCCGCCGGCCGCCATTACTTCTCCAATTGCTACGTCGAAGGAGCCGTCGATTTCATTTTCGGGAGAGGCCAATCTTTCTACGAGGTACACGTCTTGCACAGTTGCACTTGTACTTTACATTTTTGTCTAACCTTTCATGAATTAATAGCTTGCCATGTACGTTTTAGGGTGTCTCAAATTCATTAAATAACAGGTATCGTGGACGCTCGTTAAGTTGCGTCAGAAAACTTGGAATTGTCTTTTGATTTGGATTAGAATTCGTTGGTACTTAATGTAATTTCCTTTTGCTGGAAATGTGCATTTAGTATGCGAAAGTTCTGGAGAAATCGTAATCCTTTTATTATATAATTTTGACAAAAATATCTACACGCTTTGTCTTTTAACAAATAAGTTTGCATATACTTCCATTTTGGTTTCTCTGGGGAAAAAAAATCATTCGATTTTGTTACTAGTGGGAAGTACAATATATACATGCATAGTGATTAAGTGTGTCCTTAATAACTCATATAAATATTGAAAACTCTTCTTTTGTCACTCAATTCGACTGCGAAATGTCACGATATTCCGTCTCATTTTCTATCTAGCATCCAAAGTAGTGGCTCAGCTAGATCAACTTAGGGGAGAACAATAAGGAATTTCACCAAGGGAAGACAAATTTGTATGAATTTCCTTGTTTCATTGGATTCATTTTCGTTGAAAGACAAAAAAAAAATCAGTATATTGTTGCTTCGGTAAAACAGTTGAGGGAGTAGCCGAGAATGTCAATCGTAAGAAAAAGCTCGGTTAGGCACTTTTCGTTAACTCTTAACTAATATGCAGGAATAACCTCCACTTGCACTTCATACGGTGATCAATGAGTTATCAAAATCTGTTTCATCGTCAGATTTAAGTTAAATTTGCATATAATTTGATTTGATTTCAACATAAATTCAATTCCTTTTGTATTCTCAAGAATTTCCATCAAATTAAAAAAGGATACGAACTGGAGCAAGGAAATCTAATCTAATCTACGTCAAAATGAACTCCAATTATATCTGTTCAAGTTTTATATTAATTCCAACCAAGGTTGTCAAACCGGTTTATACCGGTGTGCCGGTTTTGAAAGTGGAATGGTCCGACCGTGGTACAACCAGTATTCACGCCGGTTGTGCCAGTTTTAATAAAATATATGAGACAAATGGAAATCCTCAATTCAAAATAAATTAGTCATCAAAAAGCAATTAGAAAAATTATTTCACACAAAATAATTTATAGCTAAGAATTGGTAACTAATACTAAACAATTAGATGGTTAAAAATAAAAGTATATAAAATGAATTTTATTAATGTTTATAATGATTTGTGTAAAATTAAGTATTATATATATATAATATAAAAGGTTAATATATACAACAAAATTGCTTGTAGCCTATTGGTGTATAAGTGAGACTAAAATGAACATGAGGTACTTGGTTCATATCCTAAGGAAGGTGTTTATTTTTGGATAAAATATGTATAACATTGAATTCCGGTTTCTGGTCTAACCGGCCGGAATTTCCGGATCTGACCGGCATTGACCGGATTTGACCACAATTAAATACCGACCTCTTTTCAACCGGTTTGGTGACCGGTATCGGTTGAACCGGCCGGCATGAAACCGGTTTGACAACCATGATTCCAACCGTCCATATGAAATCCTTCCCCACCAATAATCATATATCATTTCACTTTACTTAATAAATCTGAACTACATCTGCTGATAATTAATCATCAATAATTAAAATCTACAGTAGTAAAAACCTTGCGTGTAATGTAATGTGTTAATTTAAAATAATAAAAGCACATCTATCAAATCATGTCGTCTTTTTTTTTAATATATACATGAAAAGACATTTTATATCCTCAATAATTGGGCCCAAATTCAACGGAAAAAAAGAGACATGGTGCAAAACAAATAATAACTATATACTATTTTGGTAAACATGAAGGGGTTTTTTTAATGTAAATATAGCTGTCTCAATTACTATAATTATAATAAAATATATCTCATTTACAAGTATTTTTTTTTCGTTGAATCATTTACAAGTATTTAACAAGGAAAAAATGTGTTTTTTTTTTTGGAAAACCGGCTAAGAAGCTTTATTAATCATATACTGTTGTTACATCATCCAGCTAATCAATCAGGATTATCATTAAATTAATTTTTCTCAAATTCTTTCATTAACAACAACTATCACTAACATCTACAATTACTTATAAAATAAAATAGAACGAAAATTCCCGTGTAAATAATGTATTTGCTTCAATAAAAATTGAGAAGAAATAAATATCATTGTCATATAATCTCTCTATTAAAAATACGATTTTCTTGAAATGGCACTGCACGATAGCTCCTAATCGTTATAGGAGTAATAATTTCATCAATCATGTCCTCTTATTTAGTTATTTTATCATGTTGTCAACTTCGTTGGTGCATGTTTCTATTGGTAATTTGGTATATCTATGGTAAACTCGTGACTGGACCGACTCGTTAAATGTGTCACGTGGTGACACATATAGTACTCATGGGAAGAGCAAGTCGGGTGGATATCTCAATATCTATACTGCTTTCGTGGTAGATTAGTTTTAGATCAAGTAATTTATTACACGACGTGGGTCAGGGTATGTTAACCTATATGAGTATGTAATTTAAACACAAATAATTATAAATATAAATTTTTTTCATTATAAATTTATTAACAAATTATTTGTAGTTAAATTATTGGAAAAATTGAGGTTTTTCCTATTCACAATTTTATTCTAGCTAAAATATAAGATAATAAAAGTTAAATTATAAGTAATTTGAGTAAAATTACATGTGATTTGGGTAAGAATTGATAAAAAATAAAGCGGGTCAAATAGAGTAGACTATATATCCATACCCGCCCCACCTATAAGAAAATCGAATAAAACGAATCATGTCGAAATTGTCATCCCTACATGCAATTGCACGCAGAACGCAGAGATAAAAGTGACGGGAGGAGGGTTCATCACGGCGCAAGGCAGGGAGAACGCCAACGACCCGAGCGGGTTCGTGTTCTCCGGCGGCCGGGTGGAAGACGGCGCCCCCGGCGTCCACACTCTCCTTGGGCGAGCTTACCGGAAGTACTCGAGGGTCATCTTTCAGTCCACCTATCTGTCCGACGCCGTCGACCCTCGTGGATGGGACGCTTGGCATTACGCCGGCCAAGAGTGAGTGACACATAATAATGCATTACTTCTACTTCTACACCCTTTTTTATCATGCATGTAATGTAAATTTCAACAAAGCATATATATATAAATGTCTTTCGATATAGGCAAAATTTCGTCTACGTCGAGGCGGACTGTAGAGGGCCGGGAGCAGACAAATCAAAGCGAGTTCCATGGGAGAAGAAGTTGGACCCGCGTGATCCTTCCCTCTTGAGGCAGTTCTCCAAGGAGGTGTTTGTGGACCAAGATGGTTGGATTGCCAACCAACCCACCTCCTAATTATATCTCCATTCAAATTAAAGTGTGTCTGTGTGTTTGGAGATATGTGTTTGAACTTTTGAACCATGATAAGTTTGAGACATGATGATATGGATCTGATCGAGAGAATGGGCTGGCTTTGTTTACTCGTTTGATATCTGTATGATTTTGGTTAAATCGTTTGGTATTTTAATGATTTTGGTTAAAACTGGAGAATTAACAAGAGATCGTTTAACATTTTACAGAGTCAATACTCATCAGGACCACGAGTACTAACTTATAATGATTCAATTCTAAAATTGTAACTCATTATATATGTGTCGATTTATGATGATTTTAATTAAAATCTTTCGAAAAACTAATTGTAATTGAAACATTTTGTATGTATAGAAAATTTGGGATGAATTGTTAAGTATTCTTTTTTAAAGATTTGGGTTTACTATTTATTATTAGTTCAAATTACTGTACACATTACTATGTTATACTTTGATTTCATCTGAAAGTACCACCTCCACAGGACAAAAAAACCATCCGGAAATGACGTATGATCATTAAACGATCGAGATAAAAGACTCGTTTCATTAATGGTACATAATTAACTCGTTGAGCATGAGTTTGTGGAATGAGGAATCCACGTATATGATAAGTCTGTAAAATCTCTATGCAAGTGGAGCTTTTGTGTCTAGTAAAATTGTCAGAACACATATTATACATACATGTGGTAATGTAGATTCGAATTCAAAAACCAAATTTTATGTGTATTCGTTATTTTCACAACTTGTATGAGAATATATATTAGAATTAAGAAAACATATTTCTGGTATAAATTGGTCACGGTAATGATATTTATGCATCCAAGTTGCCGCATGACTATTGCTTCTGCAACTACTATAGTGATTACTGTAACACTAGGCGTACCCACATCTTAATTAATTAATTACATCATTGTATCTACACCCTAACATGAAAACCATTTGAACAGTTTGCACATGCATCCTATAGCATGCAAAGATTAAAGATAAAGATGCTAAACAAGGATAATCACGTTTTACATTGTGATTGTTTGATTGATATGGGTGGAAATTGATTCAGACGGTGTGTTTTCCAATAACACGCAATTCAACCCAAAAATTCGTTGCCCTACAATTTTGATGATACACTAATTTCAAAATGATACACACCCCAATCTCAAAATCCCATCACAAACCCCAATTGTGAATCTCAACTCAACTCAACTTTAATTTCAGTCGTCGGACAAAAATTGAGAAGTAGAGAAAGTGAGAATAACCCGTTGCCACAGGCCCACAACTGTTGAACCGGTCCATGAGTCAATGGACGATATCGGCCGAGGAGCGAAGATGGAGTTCATTTCTTAATTAGCTTAACGAGGATTGGGTAACTAGAGGTGGAAACAATGAATTTCCTGTGGGGTAGGAACCCTGCTCCATAAAATCGTTGTGTACCGTGTGGGCGGTTCAATTACAAAATACCCGTATCGGAGGCTAAACTGGTAGGTAGTATTTAGCGGTATGAACGGTTGAACACAGTTAAACTATGATTTTATCATAAAATACACTACCGCTGACTTTTCCGATACGGTCTCCAGTACGGTTTCATGGACCATGGTAGGAACTACGCTAGGACATGCCGGTCAAAGGAAGAGAAAAAAAGGAGGAAAGATGAACGAAGCTGAGTGGTCAATATATCGAAGAAAAAAAGAAGTCAGATAGGATGAGGGGTTAGTTTTGGATCAGACAAATCATTTCTCATAAATACTTGTCAAACGGATCAATACGATTAGAGACAGACACTACAATTCTATCGATCTTCACTGTTAATTATATGAGGGCCTTTATGTAAATAACCATTATAGTGTGTCGTTAGGGTTAAGAAGCTAACCTCTATAAACAGTCGAGTCTTGTACAACAAAGGTTAAGCAGTTAAAATATACAAAAAACCTGAGAGGGAGATCCTCTCCGTGGACTAGTGCCGCATTGGCGATACCACGTTAAAAACGTTCTTGTGTTCTCTCTTTTCGTATAAGCTAGAATTTGACATGGTATCGGAGCCATTGCACTCACAACTCATTTCCTTCATCTCGTATTAGCTGCAGCGGCTGTGTTTGGGTGTCAACAATCAGGTTTTCTTCTTCGGTTTCGTGTTCTGTTATTACGTTCGCGGCTTCTTTGTCTTTTGTCACTTTGATCAGGATGGATGCCGAGAGATTTGATCTTGTTTCTACTAAGTTCGATGGCAAAAGCTTTGCCTTGTGGGAGTTTCAATTCCGCAATCTCGTTGAAGAGAAGCGGCTACTCTCCATTCTGAATGGGACCTCCCCAAAGCCGGAGGATACAGCCTCGGAGAAGGAGAAGGCTGATTGGGCGACTGCTAATGCCCAGGTCGTGTCTATGCTAGCCTCCTCCGTTGATGTCCATACAGCTTTGGGTCTTCGTCAGTTCACTACAACCCACGCTATGTGGACTCATATTTGCAAGACCTATTCCCAGGCCAATGCTTCGCGACAATTCGATCTGGAATTCATCATGGCCAAACTTGTTCAGGGGGATCTTGACATTCGATGCTATTATTAGGAGAGCCTCAATCTCTGGACAGAGTATGATCTGTTGATGGCTTCTCTTTCTCCTGAAGCTACCACCGCGCAGGTTCTCCAGGAAAGATCTCGTTCCCGATTGATGCAGTTTATCATGAAGTTGAAGCCGGAATTTGAGTCTGTTCGCGCCTCTTTGATTCATAGGGGTGTGACCGAGTTTGATGAAGTCTTGGGCAAACTGCTTCACGAAGAGACAAGGTTGAAGAGCCAAGCCCAAATTGATGGTCAGCTCTCTGTTGGCGAGACAACATTTGAGGTCAGGAGGGGTGGCTCTGGGAAGCCCCAATTTCAAGGGCAGGGTACAAGTAATCTTACCTGCCATTATTGCCATGAAGTGGGACACATTCAACCGCATTGCAAGAAGAATGTATGCATCTATTGTAAGCGATATGGTCACATCATATTGGAGTGCAAAACATTGGCCAAATGCGGCGGGCTACGTCCGCATCCGTCTAGCGGTGGTGTGGGCTCCAGCTCGTCTCACTCGAGCTATGTCGTCGTTGAGCGTGCTCCAACTCCTGGTCCCTCATCTTCGCCTTCTCCGACCATCACTACTAGTCTCTCTTCCGATGCTATTCGGCGTTTAGTCCAAGAAGCACTTCCCACGGCTTTGAACTCTGTGTTTGCTACAGGTGTTGCTTCAGGTAAATCACCTCGTTGGTTGATTGATTCAGCGGCTTTTAATCACATATCTAGTGCTAGACATTACTTTACTCAACTACAGCCAGTCTCTCCCATGACGTTTAAGGTGGCGGATGGGACGAATATTCCGGTACAAGGAAAGGGGATGATTGATTCTGGTTCAGTAAAATTGCCTGATGCTCTCTATGTTCCAGCTCTAGTCCCGAATCTTGTGTCGGTTGGTCAGTTAGCCGATAACAACTGTACAGTTGTGTTTAATGCTGATGGTTGTACTGTGCAGGATCGGACAACCAGGACGGTGATCGGGCAGGGTCATAAAAGTGGGCGGGTCTTTGTCCTTGATGATTTTCGTGGTGATGCTGGCAAGCTTGGGACGAAGACAGCAACAGGTGGTTTAGCGGATCCATTGGGTGGTTCGGCTCGGCATTTTGGTTCTTCCCTTTGTAATCAGGGTAGTTTGGGTTCTTTTAATAAGGCTGGTTCTGGAAATATTCAGACTTCAGATTGTTTTTTGGGATATTCTGTCAAGCCAGGGTCTGTGGATTTTTCTGTTCATTCCTTGGTCTGGGATTTATGGCATCGTTGTTTGGGTCACCCTCATTCGGAAAGATTGTTGAACATGTTTCGTACTAAGTTATTACCAAATAAATTGCATTCTGGTTTTGGTAAACCCGATCCATGTGTGAGCTGTATTGAGGCCAAGACGTCTCAATTATCATTCTCTTCTAGTGACATGATATATGAGGTCCCGTTTGAGCTTATTCATACAGATTTATGGGGTTCGTTTCATTTTACCTCGCGTTTCGGGTTTCGATATTTCGCTCTTTTTATTGATCACGCTATGCGGTATACGTGGGTATGCTTTCTCCGTCATAAATCGGAGCTCGTCACTCATGCTAAAGCTTTCGTCGCCATTATCCAGACCCAATTTCAGACGACGTTGAAGATAATCCGCTCCAACCCGGGTGGTGAGTTCTGCTCCAAACCAATGGTCGAGTTCTATACTTCCCATGGTATTCTCGTTCAGCAATTTTGTCCTGGCGTATCGCAACAGAATGGTTTGGTTGAGCGCAAGCACCGTTATGTGCTCGACCTCACTCGTGCTCTCTTGTTCCACTCCTAGGTGCCCACTAGTTTTTAGGTCGAAGCCATCCGCACAGTTGTCTATTTGATCAATCGACAGGTCTCCTTGGTTCTTGGAAATACTTCTCCATTTCAGCAGCTCTACCATCGTGCTCCGGACTATTCTTTCCTCAAGGTCTTCGGTTGTCTTTGCTTCGTGCTCCTCTCCAAGAAAGATCGCCATAAACTTTCCCCGAAGATTGCTAGATGTGTGTTTATGGGCTATAGCGACATCCACAAAGGTATTTATGTTATGATCCGGTTCAACGTCGTATGCGTACTGCCTATCACGTTGTTTTTCTAGAACAGGTCATGCACTATGCCATGGTGAAAGATGGGCCCAGGGAATCGTTGGACTTCCTTCGACCTCACTCTCTTCTCTTTCCCGACTCGCTGGTCGCTGATCTTGGGGTGCCGTCGGAAGGGGGAGGACCGGAGGGAAGTGAGACTACTATTGATGAAACTTTCCCTCCTCATACTCCATCCATTCACACGGGCTCGAGCACGTCAACTTCTTCTTCTTCGGCACAACCCAGCTCGACACCATCATGCTTGTCATCACCTAGCACAAATGTGAATACTTCTGGTCCATCCACGTCCACATTTGTCGCTAGCAGTAGTGATTCCTCGGTTGATGGACACGAAATGGAACTTCTAGCGGCTAGTCCACCGCCATTGCCTCGCCGATCCGACCGAGTGAACAAGGGGGCACTGCCACTCAGATTGTTAGACTATGTAGGTTATTCAGCGGAAGGTATTTCAATTCCTTCTCACTATCGCTTCGTGAAAGGGGATCCAAAGTGGGACGTGGCAATGAAAGTTGAGAAGATGCCTTGGAGGAAAACCACACTTATCATCTTGTTCCTCAGCAACTTGAAATGTCAGTCATAGGATCAAAGTGGGTATATATAGTGAAGATAAGACCAGATGGCACATTAGAAAGATGCAAAGCGAGAGTGGTGGCTCAAGGTTTTTGGCAGGAGTTTGGAATAGACTATGATGTAACCTTTCCTCCTGTAGCAAAGATGCCGACAGTTCGCAGTATCTTCGCATTAGCAGCAATGAAGAATTGGCCATTAGTACAACTAGATATGAAGAACGCGTTTCTTCACGGGGACTTGAAGGAAACGATCTACATGGAGCCACCACTGGGGTATGAGAAAGCGGGTTCGAATATGGTATGCAAGTTGGTACGTTCCTTATACGGTTTGAAACAAGCTCCCAGGGCGTGGTTTGAAAAATTCAACAACACAATCGTGCAGGTTGGTTTCCGGCAAAGTGATAGTGATCCATCAGTATTCATTCGCCAGACTGTTGACGGGATTGTCGTGCTGCTGTTGTATGTTGATGACATGATCATTACAGGGGATGATTTGGACGACATTACGGATTTGACAAGCTCTTTTCGCAAGGCATTCAACCTGAAGGAGTTAGGAAAGGTATCTTACTTCCTTGGGCTGGAGGTTCATAGATCTTCACGTGGACTATTTGTATGTCAGAAGAAGTATATATCCGACTTGTTAACGGCGACGCAGTTCGACGATTGCAAGCCATGTTCCACACCAATGGAGAAAAATTTGAAGCTAAGTAAGAGAGTGGTGATCTCTTAGAAGACCAGTCATTCTATCAAAGTGTGGTGGGAAGTCTCATTTATCTCACTCACACTCAACTAGACATATATATGATGTACAGGTTGTAAGTAAGTTCTTAGGGGTGGCAAGAACAACTCATTTGGACGTTGTACATCAGATACTCTGATACCTGCAGAATACATGCGACGTTGGTTTGTTATTTCCTACAGGAGGTGAGGCTGAGATTGAGGCATTTGCTGACGCAAATTATGCCGGATGTTTGGATACCAGACGCTCTAGTTCTGGTTGATGTGTTCGCTTTGGAGCGTCATTCATATCATGGAGATGCAAGAAGCAGGACAAAGTCTCAAAATCATCAACAGAAGCAGAGTACAGATCGATGTCAGAGGTTAGTTCTGAAGTGGTTTGGTTGCAGCGTTTGTTTACTAAACTAGGAGTGGATTGCAGTGGGTCGATGGTGATCAATGGAGATAATACAAGTACAATCTAGATAGCAGGGAATCCCATTCTGCACGATCGCACTAAACACATCGAAGTGCATGTTCACTACATCAGACAACTAGTTAGTGCAGGAACTATCCAGCTCCGGTATCTTAGGACAGATGAACAAACTGCAGATGTGTTAACCAAGGCCGTATCCTCGAGCAAGCACTGGTATTTATGTTCCAAATTGATGTTGAGAACCCAACATCAATTTGAGGGAGGGTGTTAATTATATGAGGGCATTTATGTAAATAGCCAATATAGTGTGTCGTTAGGGTTAAGAAGCTAACCTATATAAACTGTCGAGTCCTATACAACAAAGGTTAAGCTGTCAAAATATACAAAAATCTGAGAGAGAGATCCTCTCCGTGGACTAGTGCCGCATTGGCGATACCACGTTAAAAACGTTCTTGTGTTCTCTCTTTTCGTATAAGCTAGAATTTGACATTCACCACATGAGTATCACAAAAGTGGTGACTACTAAAATTCGAATCCAAGACCTTCTAAGATTAAACCTACATTTTTACCAAAACAAATTTAGACCTATCCTATCCGACACGTTATCCACAAAAAATGAGGGAAGAAAGAAAAGTACAAAAATAAAGAAAATTGTAAAACCTGTCCGCGACTTATAAAAAGACTGCACCCAAATCGCGAAGTCTAATAGCCATTGAAGGGACGGAGAATTTCGAACGTCTTTCTCCGGTAGACTTGGGATTGTTCGCCGACGGCCATAGGCCCACTCTCCCTTCATTTAACGGCTCCCACCATTGCTGTCGCAGCCATTTCTGTCCTCCGATTATTGAAGAGCTCCGAACCCTTCCTCCCTCGCTCCAGCATTCGAGTTTCGTCCTCTGCACATGAGCTCTACTGCTGAAGAGGATAACGTTACCGATCCTAATTTCCCTCCGGCTGCATGAGTTGGCAGGACCTCTGTCACTACAGTTATTCTTTCAAGTGAGACTGCCTGGCGTATTTGCTGAGGTTGAAGGAGCTCCAGCTCTTCTTGGTTTGTCTATGGTCCAATTTGCTCTCTCGGAATCACTCGCCCCCAATGTCCGCCTCGTCTCTGCAGCCAACGGTGCGGCGGTTGTATCATTGCTGCCACATCGAATTCGCTATCGCGTCGATGCTCGTCGTTGGCTGACTCCTAGTTTCCCTTCTCCTGCTTCGTGCAGGTAATTAATTGGTAGTTTGTAGTTTAAAATTACCCATGTTTTTTTTTTCTTACCGAGTTCAAATTAGGGGTTGAATTGATTGTCGAAGCTGAAATTTGATTTCCAGGATTAGGAAGTTTCATTCTAGGTGTTCGAATGTGAATTCTGATGTCCAGTTCAACCATGTCGTGGCTGATGATGAGTTCTTCCCCAGCGAGGGTTCTTCGATTCAGGGAGATTTCTTGGCCCCAGTTGTACAGCATAATACTGGGATTCTCGAGACTCCAAGCTTTGGATTGTTGGTGGAAACAACTTATGCGGATGGACTTTCGTTGGCATAGCCTGTATGTTGCTATCTTATCTTCATTTATGCTCATGTGCCAAGTTGACTGTCATTGTTGAGTGCTACATCATCATTTATTGCTAATGCTTTCAATGAACTCTTAGGTTTTATCCGAGGAAGAGAAGAATGCTCTAGCAGCCACCCCGGCTCATCCGCCTGGATTATACGGTACTCAGAACAGAAGTTTGATGTATTGCTATCTTTGGAGGAACCCATAGTTGTTTCTTAACAGAAGTTTGATGTATTGTTTCTTAACAATGTACTGTGGAGTTATAAAGGTCTGAAATACATGGTTTTCGTACCAACATCAAATATAAAACAATTTATTTGGAAATCAGGGGTAGAATCTGGAAGTTTTTAAGTCCTTTACGATGAAGTGCTTGCCTTCTTATACTTGTAGAAGCTACTAAATCTTGCCTAGAAATGATGTTATTCGGTGGTCTTCAGAGGAACTGATATATAAGGGTTATCTTTTGAAGAATTCTAAACTCATCTAGTGGGTTTCTAAGATGTGGTTGTTTTGTCTCCAGTATTTTATGCCAATGTAGTAACTGGGAACGTTGTGGAACGGTTATGGGAGTTTACTTGGCCTTCTACTATCGCTCTGCTTTTTCCGAACCTTCTACCAGTGGCGGTCATGGGTTTCTTTGCTAAGGTTCTTACACTTTGAATGCGATTAAATGATATCGTACTTATTCCGAACCATGTTGTTGGCGATGCTTTCAAACTAATTTTTCTCCATAAACAGTGGGCTGTACTTGTTGGGGGTCTTCTGCTTGGAAATTTTTTGTACTATTATCCCAGAGTACCTGCATATATTAGTCTGAATGTGATCCAGGTAAACTTTCATTATTCAATGCTTTGTTTGAAATGTTGGCTTCCAAGTTCAGATCCAAAGAAGTCATTTTTCGATTTCCTTCAGGCAGCTGCTCAGGTACTGTCTGCTATGATGATAATTCATGATCACACAGTGGCTACAACTTCCTCGTCTTCTGTTGTTCTCGGTCCATGGTTTGTTGTGCTGGTTTTGGCTGGAAGTATTGAAAAGCTATGTGGGGTACCATTGGGAATTGCTAATGGACGTGATTGGGTTGTGCAGGTTAGTCGCTCTTTTCAAATTTTCTGCTCCACTATACCTATTTTCCTGCCATCTTTGTCATAGCAGATAGCTCACAACATCAATCAATTTCCTCCTGTGAGCAGCTAGCTGTGACAAGTAAGCCCATTGCACTTGCACAAGCAAATGCTGTTCTTAGTAGGATCGACATGCTTGCAGAGGTATTCCCTGGATTTGTAGCATGTGGGTTTTGGATGAAGGTTGATAGCTTAATTTGAAGTGGGCATTTGCAGATAGCTGGCGCGTCAATGTTTGGGGTTCTTCTTTCCAAGTATGGTCCAGTGATGTGCCTGAAATTTTCTTATACTTTGATGATCGGTTCACTGCTAGTGATGGTACTAATTAACTTTTATCAAATTCATGGATCAATTCTCGAGTCCAGTGGTATAATTAGTTTGATAATTGTTGATGCTATTCTCATATCGGGCTTGCATATTGAACAAACAAGTTATCAAGTGGGGTTCTTGACAATACTATATCTTCGCAATCTTTTGGCATAGACTCCATCAATAATCACCATATAGGTGAGTATGCCTTGTATCACACATTTTTTTTTATCTGGCTAAATGATCCATTGTTTGATAAAGCATCCTCTGTTTGGAAACAGTGGATAAATGTTTGGAAACCATCAAGCTTAGTTGGAAGGAATATATTCAGCAGCCAGTTCTCCCTATTAGCATTGCGTATGTGCTACTGTTTTTTAATGTCGTACTTGGTCCTACTTGTTTGATGACGGGTTTTTTTTACTCAGAGAGGTATGCCTCAACTTTTTCAACTCTTAAAGCTTCTATGATTATTGCGATTTCACTATCGCTACTGATAAAGCGACCTGGATGCACTCAACAGGAGTGAGTCCTTCGACAATTGGGGGTTTCACTGGACTCTGTGCAGCCATGGGGCTTGTGGCAACATTCCTTGCAGCCAATTTTGTCAAGCGACTAGGCATTTTAAAGGTAAAGCAATCTTCCTGCTCTCCAGACTTGGTTAACGAGAACATGTAATGTTCAAAGACTAGTATTGAGTTCTAACCTTACTTTCGCACTGCTTTTGTCCCCAGGCTGTAGCTTTTGGATTCATATTCCAGGCTTCATTCCTTCTCATGGTTGTTACAGTTTATTGGAGTGGATCTCTCTCCCACCAGAGTCCTATCATTTTCTTCTTGGGCTTAATTGTGAGTTCTTCCAACCATATGTTTGTAGTAGTTTATTGGGTGTCAAATGTCTAAATGGTCTCTGAAGTATGGGTTTGTAACAAAATGGTCCCCGAACTAACAATTCTAGCAAAATGCTACCTGAACTTAGTGAATTGGGAAGAAAACCTTCATCTTGTTGTATTCCGTCTATTCTCGCATCAGTTCATGTGAGTTGACATGCCAACTAGAATCACCTTGTCACCAAAATCACTCAATCACCACCCCACATGCTCGTTAAACTAAACCCTTCCCAAGTCCAGAGTCATTTGGATCTCGAGTTCGTGTTTTTGTTGCTCCCACATGTGAGTCGGTTTGTATGTGTGGCTGAGGGTCTGGTCAGGTGTGTGAATGAGGTTATGAGCAGACAATTTTGGTGGCATAGTGAGCCTATTTGACACGTTGTGTCCAGATTTGACCGAATAACTGTTTCATTACAAAATTGCAAGTGTCAAGATTGAGTTGGATCTCAGGTCGTGGTCTGTATGTTGGTTGGGAGTCAGTTTTGCGTGGCTGCGGTAAAAAGGGTTGGATCGATGGATGTGTAGCATAGGGTGCTGATCAGGCAATTTTAGTGACATAGCTATCCTATATGACATGTTGACTCAAATAAGCTAATACCAGATGAGATGGAATGACTGTTGCATAATAAATTTATTTAGTTTGCGTGTTGTTCAACTTTTCAGTTCAGTCATTGCATCTAACCTGACAGATTCGAGTTAGTGGCAGAACTAGGGATATTGTTTCAACAGAACCTAAATATCATCCGTTGAAGATTGAACCAAGTTGTATGTTTCCAGGCACTATCAAGGTTGGGATACATGTCGATTGTAGTCGCAGGGGCACAAATTCTCCAGACAGGGATCCCATCATCGGAAGCAAACCTGATAGGGATAACTGAGGCATTGGTCGCTAGCTTGGCAGAGTCATTAATGCTTGGAGTAGCAATAGTAGCGAACGACGCTTCCCATTATGGCACGCTGGCCTTGCTCTCGGTGACAGCAGTAGTTGGTTCGGCTTGGATTTTCTGTAGATGGGCAATTAATCCGACTCCTGAACAAGGCGGCTCTTCTCTTCTAACCCCACTCCTTGATGCCTGAAACAGAAAACGTAAGTATATAACGCCATTGCTTGTTCAAATACTGGGAAGAAAGCACCCTCGATTCATTTGTAGACACCTCACATTCTTTGCTCTCACGATGATTTACGATAAGGGCTGAATTCTGATAACTCGAATTGTTGAATGTAGTTTATACAAGCAAGTTAGCTTCTTCGGTGGAAGCTCGAGTGTTCTGCCATTTCATCACATGTAGAATAGTGACAGAGCTAGCTAGCTAGCAGCATTTAAGCTTAGTTTTTGTACAGCAGAGTAGAGCAATTCAAGCAGTCATTGATTCTAAGATTCTAACCCGCATCAGTTTTTTTCTCCCTCTTCCCAGGAACAATTCGGTTTCGATTGTTGTGTTTAAGAGCGAAAGTTTCAATGTAGGATGTGCAGTTGTTTTCGGCCTAACGTTGAACCATCGATGGAGTCCTATTTTTATTTATTTATCATAGATAGATGTAAAAAGGCAGGCATAAATACGAAGATTGGAATAAGCAAAACGTAGTAGTCGGCCTAACGTCGAACCATCGATGAAAGGGTTAGTTTTGTCACTAAATGGCCAGTCCTATTAAAATGCCTGGGAGAGAAACGGAACCTAACAGCCAAGAACGACCCCTAGAACAATCTGACTTCTTCAAGTAATATACCACACCCATGTCATCAGCTGCATCGCCCTCTGCAGCTCTTCGAATCACAAGTTGAAACCACATAGACTGATAGACAAACAGACTTAGGCTCTATAAATTATTTCTCGTGCAAGTCCGTCAACCGCTAATTTGCTAGGATGTTTATTATGAACCGTTATTTGCCGCACGTAGTTACAAAAAATCGGACAATTTTGCTCCTTCATTTTAAAAGTTACCGTCGATCGCGCCCAGCGACTAATCGTCTCAGTGTGGTCGCTCACGAACTGCAATGTGGTTTCATTGGGTGTTGGGGGGTTCTCGGGCGGATTGAATTCTACTTTCCGGTGCTGAAATATGTTTCCTCGAATGGCGGGAGAATCAGAGTCTCAAGTCCAAAGAAAGCACCCTGGGTTGGGCCGTACAAGGCACGGCACGGCATTATTGGAACGAGGAAACAGAGACCATTGATAAGCAAATAAGCCATTACACAACGAACTTCAATGCTGCTGCTGCTGCTGCCATTTTGCAAACTTCAACGACGACTCAATGTTGTTGTAGATCGATGCTTCCCATTTGATTCCATTTGTACTCTGTCTGTGTAGGAAGAAAGGATAATGAAAAAATGGAAGTGTGCTAATAATGTCGGTGTTATATCTATGCCCTCCTTCCCGTGCATGCTACGCCTTCCCTTCTTACTTTCATCTTGGACTCTGGCCTCTCTTTTCCCAAAGCTTCATGCCCTACTCCTACTGTTTGCACCTAGGTAAGCTGATCATCTAATTTCACGAGTATTTGATCAATTTTGCTTGTACTTAGGTTAACTATCGTCTGATTTCCGAGTACATTGACATACTTTTTATTTTATTTTATAATGGAGTGCATTGACATACTTTGTTCGGAGTTGATATAAAGCAGTAGTGACAATCGGCAATTATCGTGAAATGCTCCTGACGAGTATTATAAATTGAGTAAGAAAGCAGCTAAAACTAGTCGAAAGATGCCTATCCGAGTTAGTATCGCCAGACAATTATTTTAACATTTGAGTTCACACGTGTAAAGAGAAGAGTGATTCATTTTCCCATGTAATCTCGATTTCAGATTGATACGAAAGAAAGAGCGGAATTGATCGTATGGTGCGTTTGGATAGGTGTATTTCAAATGTAATGTATTTGAAATACATGTGATTTAAATTCATTGTTTGGATACTCATTTGCAATTTGATGGTATTTTAGATTTAGATTTTGAATTTTTATGGTCACTTACTACAAATTTTGGTATATTACATTCTGGTACCCAACTTTACTTTTTTTTTACAATATGATACCTAAACTTCTGAAATTTTACAAAAATGTACGAAAATTTTGGTGATAAAATTATATTTTGGTACCTTTATACGTTTTGCCTCGCACTATAGTACCTAAACTTTTATAATTTTACAAACAAGTCAAACCTTTTGATAGGAGGAATTTCAAATCACTAGTTATTGAAATGTATTTTAAGTTGACAAGTAATACACTAGCGCTCGATTCCCAATGGGCCTTACTGAAATCACCCCATGAAATTGATGGATTTCGTTTGAGGGGTTGTTTTAGTAAACGGTATATGATGTACAATTGAACATCTTCCAACAAGTCGAGTTATTGGAACCAACCAGTTGGAACACAGATAATAAAATCAGTTGTTGAAGGGTTTCCTCCCTTCCGCGAATCAGTCCTGAAATTTGCACGGATACCACGTTAACTCCGACTATTCTGCTTTTGTTTATGTTTTTGTTTACATCGATTTGTCTATAATAGAGATAAATTTCTCCAAGCAATTGGTTGCTATGAAGTGTCAACTCTTTGACTCTCTACACCGCAAAGCACCAAAAAAACACTATTTACACATCTTTGGCTCTATTCACCAGTCAGCACTCCAGTACCCTCAATTAGTAGAGTCCTCTCAGAGCTCCTCTAGTCTAATATTTTCCCAGGTGCGCTGCAGAGAATTGTCACAGCAATAAATGGAAAGAAAGAACAGAAAGAAGCACTAATCAGAGCCAAGGAAAGGAAAAGGAAACGAAGTTGCAAAGGAAGTGTCATTCACCTGGTTAAGGTGAAGAGTGGAAGAGGGAAATTGTGGTTGTGGAGTCCATGTGCCCTGTATATTATTTGTGCACCTCGACAATCAAGACTTGTCTTGTCATTCCTTCTTTTTTTTTTTTCATCTCTTCAAACAAAAGCACAAGTTTCACATATACAAATGTTAATGTTTTTACAACTCATATCTATCCTATCTTCAAGTACTACTTTATGAATCAACCACACCACTTTTACAACTCATCCTCTTCACTTCTAGTTGTGTTAGGAAAGAGATACTTGAGCTCCTCAAATCATATGGTATCAACTAGCAACATTACATTTCAATGGTGTTAAGGGCATCAATTGAATTCAAATTTGAAGGCCCTTTTCTTGGGGCGAGTCCGGCGATTCATCTCTGATTCGATCTTATCGACAGTTCTTGTGGGAAAATTGCTGGTGTTTCTTGCTATTAATTTATTCTTCTGATAAGGAATGTTTTTTTTCAAATAAAACGGTAGAAAAGTAAATAATGAGGCCGATTGGGAAAGGAATCTGAAACGAAATCAACATATTTCTTCCTCCTCTTGATTAATTGCAACCGAAAACGCGATGGTATATGCCACACTCTTTAAACTAACTCCACTGATGAAAATATATGAAACACTGAAACTTCTTCAATTTGTGCTCTGCTAATTTCCTTTGTTATTGTTGTCCCTTCATCTACGTACTGCTTCTAATCTTCTCCATCTGTACACTTCAATATGCCCCCAACAAGTTGACGCATATGTGTTAGGTATGTATAACTTGTCGAACAAGTAATTCAACTGGTAACAACTTAAGCCTTTTGTAAACAGGTATGCACGCTGATGTTCACTCCTCAAGTAACTTAGCATAATCATCATCCTAGCTATAACTTGATACATCCTCTCTCTAGTAATATGAACAATGATCGCAATATGTTTACTACAAGTAAGATTTTATGCAATATGGTTTTTTTACATGTTGTTGCCAAAAATGATGACAAGTGTTGGTAAAGTTATAGTTGGTTCAGTTAGCAACCTCTTCAACTATTGATGAACTTCACACAAAAAAAATGAGCTAGTGCCTTATACTCTGTGTCTAAAGAGGATCTAGACACTGCAGTTTGCTTCTTCGATTTCCAAGTCACAAGACCGTCTTCTAATGATATTTAATTCTCAAGAATAAATATTCTGGAAAATATACATGTATCACAATCTACATTAATGTGATCCTTTGACACCAAGTTAGTAGTTGAGTTAATGAGAGATCAATCTTGCCCAGATGATTTTAAATTGTATGTGTTAGGAACTTCCCATTACTAGTTGAAACTAAACTCTGGAAAGGGCTTTAATACTAAAGGTTAACCTTGTTATGTGTATCATATTGTATAGTTTTCCTATCAAGTTGAGTGGTTGCAAGAAACTGAAGAAAGAATCAACATCATCGCACCGGGGGAGCTCTGTTGGAAGAAATTTACAGGGCATCTGCTTTCTTTTCTCTCTTTTCTTGTCGCTTTACTCCTATGTTGTATGACAGGGCTGCCCATTTAATAGCTACTAATTGCCTTTTATCGGCAGTTCGATTAGTTAACGATTGTCGCGTTTGGCTTTCCAGTGTCTTATAATATCTATTTGTATGGCCTGAACTTTGCACATAATAAACATCCTGACCAATTTTTTCGATCTATAACATTCTGGCCCAAACTATACATCAAAGTAACGGAATTGCCCAAACCCGATGTTTGACCGTTTTCTTGGACAGTCAACGTGTCATGTCACTGCCAAGTCAGCAACTTTCGCTTAATTTTTTTTATTTTATATTTTCCACCTATTACAATTTTTATTTTTCATTTTGAACCAAAAGAAGAAGAAAAAAAGTAATTTCATTTTGAACCAAGAAAAAGAAAAATGGTAAAAGGTGAAAAATATTAAAAAAAATTAAGTGAAAGTCACTGACTTGGCAGTGACGTGGCGCGTTGACCATCCAAGATAACGGTCAAACATCGAGTTTGGCCAATTTCGTTACTTTGATGTATAGTTTGGTCTAGGATGTTATAGATCGAAAAGATTGGTCAAAAAGTTTAAGATTGATCAAAATGTTTATTATGGGCAAAGTTCATACAAATATATTAAGTAAAAAATTTGTGGTTAGATTATTGATAGGTGTTTTCTTTGTTCTCTTCTTAGCTTAATTAAGTGTGTGATTTAGAGAGAGTGGTTTGAAACTTTTGTTTCATCGTTATTGTTAAAGATTTTAATTCTCACCTTAAGATAATCGGTTTGTGGTTAGATTGAAATAATATTAACCTAGAACACAGGTCTTAACGGTAACCAACCTTGACTGTAGAGTAAGAACTGCACCAGTAGTTGTACGAGAAATGTAATAATGCATGGCCATGTAATGGTTGGGTAGTTAAGTCCCTCAACCAAACTCTTCTAACGCAACACCTAGGATAGTGATGCAATGGCGCGGGACGGGTATCTCAATACTTTTGCTTTGTCCCAAGTTATTATGGGTGGGAAGGGTAAAACCCGCGCGGGACGCGGATAAGAAGCGGGTCGAACCACTCTTACATGTTATTTGGAAAACACACACGCAGATTTTACCTTTTTTATAAAATTAAGAGGAAAACACTTTATGAATGAAAAATAGCGATAATACAATCTTAACTTATATTATGGTCGTTGTGGAG